CAGAGATGCAGGGCTGGTTCAATATATTCAAGTTAATAAACATCATTAATCATATGAATGGACTCAAAGACAAAAAGCACATTGTCATCTCAATAGAAAATCTTTTGACAAAATTCAGCATGCATTTATGTTCAAAGTCCTAGAGGGAATTGAACTGAAGGGAACATTGTTATTTAGATTTTAAAAATTGTATTTTTATTTTACTTGTATGTTTTGCCTTCATGTATATAGGTGCACCAACGCGTGCAATGCCTGCAAAGGCCAAATGATCTGGAGTTGGGGATGGTTGTTAGCCACCATGCGGGTGTTGGGAAGCAAACCTCGGTCTTCTGCAAGAGCAACAGGTGCTTTTAACTGCTGAGCCATCTCTACAGACCTTAGTAAAAATTTTAACTTCACAGATACTTATACTTTTAAATATTTCTGTGCATTTGTGGTATCTAATTGTAACAGACTGAATTTTGGTTAAAGATGGTTTCTAAGACAGTCTCTTCCTCTTCTAGGAAGGGGAATGCTCCAGATCATACCAGGGAAGGGGAAGGGGAAGGGGCAGAGAAGTGACGTTCCGACACGTAGAAGACATTAGAGACAGGCCTTCCTCTTGCCACTTGGCTTGGAACGCTCTCCACTCTGATGATGAACTTTCTGCTTTTGCTTACTCTCCTGCTCTAAATGAACTTTGACCATTGCTCTACCTGGACTTGTGAATTCCTCTACTTCTGGAGCACAAGAACTAAGATTGTTGCCATAATTGGGATAGGAGGTAATGTGGGAGGATTGATCTCCCCAAAGTGTCTCTGTATGGAACCTACACTGGCTTAAAATTATTTGACATCATATCTTCTTTGGTCAATTTATCCAGATCTGGAATTGTTGGTGTGCACTATTATTACGGTCAGATTGTGCCCTGTTTTGAGCTACTCTGTATTGTTTGAAACAGTGGTTTTCTACACTGCACTTTGCTCTAAAAACCTCCAATTTACAAGCATAGATTTTTCACCACTTTGAAGGCAAAGGGTGACTCTTGTCCCTGTGTGTGGCCCTTGCCCACAGACCTACACCATTTCTCAGGCACCACCTAGTCAACACAGACTCACATAAATGACTTCTTATTGGGAGTATGAAAAGAGCCACCTCATAAATTTACTGGAGTTAATTGAGACTGAAAGGGCGCATGACTGTATTAAATTCTGTTAGGGAAACCAGGCCTAAGAAATTACTAGACACACTAGATTAGGGAAAGCTATACCTTCCTTGCCTAGACCACCCAAAACTACAGACACCTAACACCTAACCTGGTGTATGCAACAAGAATTGACAGAGGACTCCTGATCATCCCTAGGGCTTCAGCTTGGCTAGGTGCCTTGCTGGTGACAAGGTCTACGTGACTGTCCCTCCACTTTTTCACCTGTCTGGACCTGACCCTGAAGCTGCCGTGTCCTGCTCTGAGACCCTGGTTCAGCGTTTCCTCTCACAGTTGAACTCTCAATCCTGCCTCTAGCAACTCCAGCATCAGCTCTTTCCCAGCACTTATTTCATTCTTGATCTTACCGATACAGACTCTTTCTACTGCTGTAGCCTTTTGAACTGATGTTCACTCTGTAAGCCACATATATGCATATAGATATATGGACATATTTACTGTGTGCTGTGTGACAGGAAAGATAGTACTAGAATTAAGATTGGGATAAAAGAACCTGTATTTATCTCCGACAGATTGTGAGGGTAGGTGGGAAAATCAGGGAAATTGCCGCTATCAAAACAGGTCAACCATATTTCTGGCATAGCGTGCTCATGATGGCGACCACCGCACCTGAAAAAAATTGTTCTAAAATTTATTTCTCTGTAATACTATTGTAGACTCTTCAACACTCTTATTCTTAAGAGTTTGTACTCAATATGTTAATTGATCATCTTGTTTTATTTAATCAAGGAAGTAGTTCAAACTTAGAGCCATGTTTTGACTTAATTCTTATCTCTACTTTTTCATTTTAGGTTTTGGTGATAGAATTTTTGATATGGTTTAATTTACTGTACTTGCTTCTTTTTAGTTAACTCATCAGAAAATTTCTCCAACCCCATTTACCAATTTTATAGGTGACCCTTTCCTGTGACAATATGATTTATGTGTATATATCTATGTATTGTTTTGACGGATGAAGATTTATGTTGACTGCCATTTCATCATTGATTTAACATATCACTTATTTATACATTCTTCTCCATTCTAAAATAAAGCACAGATTTAGGAATGATGCAGAGTTTGTATAAAGTACTCACTGAATAGCATATATGATTCATGTAACATGACCATGCTGTTGAGAGCAGAGAATATTACCAAGCAGTTCACCAATGACCAGTTTTGTCCAGTCGTTAATATTATTGCTCATGTAAAATCAGTACACATGTTTTTGTTCAATTTGGCAGAAATTTTAGCAGTCTATGAAACTCAGGATTCTGTTTGCCCATGTTTAAACTTTGTTTCTTTATTTCTTCTTTTTTTTTTCAGTTGTTCCTTAAAATTTTCTGCAAGTTGTATGCCTGTGTTATGGCTTACCAATACCACAATCAAAATGGAATGTGTTCAAAGTCAATAAATATGGATTCATCAGAGTCTTTTATGTAGCCACAAATCACATATATCTATACCACTTTAGCCATAATCTCTGTAGCCCCAGTTTTGAAAGTGCTTGTTTTGATATAAACTCTTACAAACACTACATGTAATATGTACTATGCTCACGGTTTGAATGTGAAATGTCCACTGTAGTCTTATGTATTTGAATACTTGTTCTCAGCTGAGGGAAGAGTTTAGGGAGGTTATGGACCCTTTGGATACGAGGCCTGATGGCAGAATTAGGTTGCTTGAGGTGCATCTTGAAGGAGATAACCAGTTTGGGTCCAGCCTGAGCTCTACCTACTTTTTCAGTCTCCAATGAATCTGTCACATGCTCCTTACACCACTCTACCATGCCTTCTTTGCTAATGGTGGTCTGTATCATCTAGAACTGTGGGGCAAAAAATATTCCTCCTCTTCAGGTATTTTGTCACAGCAATGAAACAAATTGCTAGAACATATGCTAAATGTTTAATGTACCAGGAGATGTTTATGATATGTTAAATTTCAATATTGTACCCCACATCATGGTTTGAATCACTAAAAAAACTGCCGATAACAAATTGAGAAGAAACTTTGGCACACATAATATTTATTTACATACAGGAAAAACTGCTGTTGAGAATTTTTTTCATTTCTTTTTTATGTATACTTTTTATTGATTTTTGTGTCTTTCATATAATAGAGTTTAAAAAAATTTAAACCCCCTCAGCATTAATACTTCCTCCCCCTACCAGATTTCATGCATTCTGTCAAGATCTTAACTATCTGTTCATTTATATTCAGATGTCCCTTGGCGCAAGTTCATCTACTGGAGTCTAGTTAGCCTATCTAGAATCACTCTCTTAGAGAAGATCAACTCTCCCTCTCCCAGAAGCAATCAGCTACCAATAGTTCCTTGGCTGATGTTGGGACCTGCTTCCCATTTCACCAGTTCTATGCTGGATTTTTGTCTGATTGAGTTTGCATGGGTCTTCAGATGTCCCTTGGTGCAAGTTCATCTACTGGAGTCTAGTTAGCCTATCTAGAATCACTTCCTTAAAGAAGATCTACTCAGCTAAGACTGGGGTCTGCTGTCCGTTTCCTCAGTTAGATGTTGGGTTTTTGTCAGCTTGAGTTTGTCTGGGTCTTGTACATACTGACACCATTGCTGTCGGTTCATATGAGCAGGGTCCCAGGAGCTCATAGGACTCTTATTTCCATATGGTATGTTGATTACTGCTGGGTGAGGAAGATTTGATCTTCTAAAGTGAGGGACTTTAGACCTCAGTGGATGACCTTGCACTGAGGGACGTCTGGAGACACTAACTTGACACACTAGGCCTTAACACAAATGACAGACTATGAATTCCAGTGGGGGTACTATGGAAGGGTGCCAGTGGGGAAGGGGGTATAAAGATGATTAAGATCGATTGAGGTGTCCTGCATGAAATACACAGAAAAAAAATTTAAAAAAGATTTACTCTCCCCTACCCTGCAGTAATCAGTGGCCAATAGTTCCTTGGCTAAGGCTGGGGACTACTCAGCAATAAGGAAAGATAAAATCATGACATTTGTAGGTAAATGGATGGACCTGGAAACTGTTATACTAAGTGAATAACACAGGCTCAGATAAACAAGCAACGTATGTTCCCTTTCATTTGTGGATCTTATCACCAATCCCTTCTGTGTGAGTATCCTGATGTAATAGCAGGAGCCAAGAAAATGGAAAGGAACCACAGAAGCAAGGGGGGAGAAAGAGCCAGAGGGAGGGGGATAGTAGGAGACAGATGTCACCAAGAGGGAAATGGGGAAATGGGGGTATTTGACTGGGAAGGGATGAGGGAAGGACATACAAGGAACCATGGGGGTAAAGGAGAAGAAGGAACTTAAGAGGGGGGGATAATAGGAGACGGTTATTATCAAGGGAAAAATGGGGAAAATGAGGGTACTTTAACCAGAGAGGGAGGAGGAAGATTAGACAGGGAAAGAGGGAGAAGAGATAAAGCTTAGGCGGTGTGAAAAGCCAGAGGGACATGAGTGCCTGTGTATACCTGAAGGCAATGTAGGAAGAAACACAGTGTCAGAAAGGAGAAACCTCCTTTCAAATTGTTGGTCAAGGGAGTCCAAGAGACTCCAAAAATAACAAGACTATTGCCAGAGCCCTTGATTGCCTCCCAGAACTTGAAGGCAAGACCCTATTGCTGAAGACAGGACACACTTCAGAAGCAAGACTTGGAACACTGGAGCTGGAACTGACCTGGAAGCCTCCTTCCTGAAGCCCAGCTGTTGAGAATTTTTGCTGTTGGTTGTTTTGCGACTATTATCATTTAAAATGTTTTGGTCTTTAATTTTTATACCAACTATTATTAATTCCACACTCTAATCTTTCTATTTTCTTCAGATTTGGAAGGAAGTTAATTTTCACATGTGCTTTACTGCAAGCAGCCGTCTCTGAAACCTGTGCAGCTCTTGCTCCCACCTTCCTCATCTATTGCTTACTGCGCTTCGTAGCCGGGATTTCTCAATCAGCTATAGTCACAAATACTGGTTTGCTGAGTAAGTCAAAACTTTTGATGGTGTTCATTATTCAGGGTTTGATTATGGCCCTGGATATGTCTCCCACTTGTGTTGGAAGTCAGGATTAATTTTTTTTTTTCCTTTCAGTGATAGAGTGGACAAGTCCTAAGTTCCAATCCGTGGTAATGGCAGCGTTGTTGTGTAGTGGTAGTGTTGGACAGCTGCTATTGGCAGGCCTGGCATTTGCAATTGGAAACTGGCGCAACGTCCAGCTGGCATTGTCTACACCAATATTCTTCTTACTTATACCCACAAGGTATCGTCTGTCTTTCCTTGTCTGTCTTATGGAGTGGTGTTTCCATTATATAGAGGATAAACAGAGGTAAATTTAGCTTCTTTGTGTGACCAGATGCCATCAGCTGGCAGAAATAGGGATGAATGCAATTGATAGGATCTAATTAGCACAACTTTATCTAGGGGTTCTTATTTTAGGAAAAGGACATATTGTGAACATGTATTTCTTATGCTATAACTGGAGATTTGGCAAATATCTGTACAAATGTCTTTCAAGTTCTAATTCTGTGGAGTCTAACTACGTATCCAACTAAGGTCTGGCCAATCAACATGACTCTGGATATGCATCCCAGGAGTGCAGGTGTAATGCATGAGTGTGTCATCTCCTAGTTTCTCAGTGAAGTCTAGACAGCGCGAGATTTTATTTATTGGTATAACTGAATGAGTGGTAGGTATTTGATTAATGAACAAAACTACGCCAGGATAAATTTGGTGTAGAAAATGACCACATGAATACTGACTCTACTTCCAACAGGTGGCTATCAGAATCAGCTCGATGGCTGATTATGACTAACAAACCCCAGAAGGGCTTAGAAGAACTTAGGAAAGCTGCACACATGAATGGAATGAGGAGTTCTGGAGACAGGCTAACCATGGAGGTGAGCATGATGGGAACTGCTTAAGACAGAGGAAACAAGCTGACAGGTGTGTGAGATAGAGTCAAACTTGCAATACACTGTCTCTACAAACTTGTATACAGATCTTTCATTCGAAAGGGACTAAAAGTCCTTATGTTTTTCTTAATTTTGTTTCTTGGTTTCAATTTATAAAGCCCCTCTCCACAGGATTTTATTCACTTTTAAAACTATTTGGGATTCATTTAGATAATTCATACATTTTTTCAATATATATTTTTATTGAATTTCTGTACATTTCATACATCTTTATCATATTTAGATCCCTCTCCCCTATCTGCACCCCGAATAACCCTTCCCTCACCTGATTTCAAGCATTCAGTAATATATGTTAAGGTCTCTTGCATTGTTTGTTTTCCCAGATGTCCCTTAGTGTGAGTTCATTCACTGGAGCCTGGTCATCCTGTTTAGCTTACAGAAGACCAACTCTCCCTCACCCAGCAATGATCATCTGCCAATAGTTCCTTGGTTAAGGTTGGGGCCTGCTTCCCATTTCCCCAGTTCTATGCTGGGTTTTTGTCTGGTTTGAGTTTTCATGGGTCGTGTGCATGGTATATAGCATTTTTCATCTTTTTTTCCAACCCCAAAACGTCTTATTTCCTTTCTGCTCCTGCTGATTCCTATTTTTCCAACTATTCTTCTCTCCCTCTCTCTCTCTCTTTCTCCTCTCTTCCTCTCTCTCTTTAAACAAGAAGTTCAATTAAGGCTACTTATAGAAGAATAAT